GACCTCGGATTCGGATTCCTCGACCTCGATTACCCTTCGGTCAACCCTTACTCGGCAACAAAAAAAAATTCATTAATTAATTAGCAATTAGCTAATGAGCTAATTAGAATTTCGAGAAACTGACCTCGGATTCGGATTCTTCGACCTCGATTACCCTTCGGTCAACCCTTACTCTGTATATTAATAATCTATGTCTAGTTGACAGATAGTTAATTAATAGTTAATAATTAGTTAAAACTAACCTCAGATTCAAGTTCCTCGACCTCGATTACCCTAGGGGTAATCATTTTCTAACAACTATCGATCAATTTCATTGATTTTAGAAATGCTGATTTCTGATTGAATAGGACAGACAGACAGACAGACAGACAAACTTTAAGCTTTTTAACACAGCATTTAAACGCTGTATAACCCTTTCTTTCAGAAAAGGGAACAAGAGAAAATTGAAATTACTTACAACTTCTTTAAAGGTCTCTTTGAAAGTTTTTTTCTCGGGTTTAACAATTTGACTTTTGTTAAAATCAACAATCTAATTATTAGTTCTGTCTTGTTTAGAATGATGAAATCGCCGATAAGTCTTTTGCTTTTGAGAAAACTTTCTCAATCAATAGTTGTTCTAACAGATATAAATGATTCAAAAATCGAATTCAAATAGGAGACAGATTCAAATCATTTTTGTTAATCTCACCCGAACTTTTATTTTTTCCGATATAAGGAACAAGAAAAAAAATGGTAACATGTTCTCTCAACAAAAGAGGATGTCTTTGGTTGAAATATCATTCACTTACTCCGAGAATTTTCCGTGAACAATAATGATTCATTTTAATACAAGCGTCAGTAGATCGTATTCTTACAGTTCGTTGATCAAACATTAATGTAAGGCACATTCTCGCTACAGTAATGTGCTGATTAAAATATACAACAGCACTGCGTGATAGAGGGTATTTCATAATGTTGATTGGTTAACAAGCTGTCTCTGTTGTACGCAGAATGAATAAGTTGCACTGCGAAAAATGAGAATCTCCTATTATTCCATGTGTTCGATCTGTTGTTCTCTTTCTCGTAGAGATAGAGAAGAGTCTTAGAAACATAAATTGTTTACTTGCTTGTATGTCCACAGGGTCAAGAAAACATCAAAAATCGATTTTTCTGAAAAGACATTTCCAGAGGTATTTCAATGCGGAAACTTCGAATCTAATGTTAGTTTTTTGTAACAAAGGGTATCGATTTTCAGAAAAAATATATAAACATATGATACCGGCTATAGTCAAGCGTATTAGTACGATAAATAAAACATTGTGCTCGATGTCTAGTGACGTAATAATTAATAACTGATCTTCATAAACGAACTTTGAAGTAACCTCTATATACCTGACAACAACCCAAGGTAATGTTTCCGGAACCCGAACGATCCTATGTCTTTTCCCGCATCTTCCTACAGGAATTCCACGGAAATGGAACCTTTGAAATCCCGAAATTTCCGCCACAGGGAAAATACACCAGATCCGCCAGGAAGTTAAAGGCAATATGATAAGATCCATCAGGAAACGGCTGGAAATGTCACCGTGAACGAACGGAATCTATCCACTTTCCAAAATCAAATACATCCTAATCTCTAAATTTATTTAACTACTACTCGAAATCGAGCAAAAAGTATCCTATGATGATTTTTTTCAGATTTCAGTAATTATTAGGAAAAATCCTAAAAGTACCCTGGCTATACTCATCGTTGACGAGTGGAAATGTGATTTAAATGTCTTTAGGATCATCTACGTGAAAAGTACTGGAACAATCAGATTGGCCGGCAAAAATGTGTTGGTATATCGGATTAAAGTACTTAATCTAAACAGCTTGGAAATCGATTAAGGTAAAAATAATCAACTGAAATCGGCTGAAACCTGTTGTAATATCTACTTGAACTGATTGTTTTTGAGGGAAGACAGGTACTGTTGAAAATTAAACAATGTCTTGAAGAGAATTAATTTTCTATCAGTTTTTTAACAGGATTTAATCGATTAAAAAGTTGATCGAAACATGTAATCTAAGTTGATTTTTCATTAGCTTTCTCGTGTGAAATCTGATTTTCACACCTATTTTACGTTGGCGGGTGGATGGCAATTGGAAGAATGATTGAAAAGATATACGTCAGTAAGTTGTGACATTGCGACTTGGTACTCATTGTAGATAGATAGTACCGGTATGCATGATGGTATTGGATCTAATAACGTAATCTTTGCACAATAGTTGCGGTTAAGTTAAACTTAATATTGCATTTATGCAGGAATCTTTTTTCCGCGAATGACACTTCGTGCAACACTTGACACCTTTAATCTTACACGGGCAAGCTTTTGTGGCACATTTTCCTGAACAGTTGCACGCTTCTGCAAGATTAAGCGCACCAACTGAAATATATTCTTTACATGCTTGAATGAATGTCATCGTCGGTAACGTCGTTGGTTCCACAGCACGTAAGTCTGCAAAATCACATTTAGTTAGATCCAATAGATCTTGTACACCATAAGATATCGATAGAACGCCCCGCAACGTGCATAATTGATACAACAGATCATTATTAGAAGAGGAACGAACTGACACAACTTTGCAGGGAAGAATTTTTGGCGTTGTATTCGTTCGATCCACACGGTCGATTTTGAGGCCAACGAGATCTCCTTTCTGATACTGTTCTTGTTTCATGGCTTCATCACAGATCTTTTGTCGCTTGGCAATCGCTTTCATATAATCAGCTTCTGCTGCAGCTCGAATTCGTTTATGTCTGTTGTCATCTATATCAGTATCCGGAACTTGAGTACCATTTTCGTTAATCACAAAGCAAACACCTGAAGAATGGAAAAATGAAGCTACCAGAATATTTACATAGCCTCGTTGTATAATTGTTTCTGCTAACCTTCAACAGTTCCATAGCTGTCGGAATCAGAATGCGAATGAATTGATTCACAACATACTGTCGCGACTATAGAATTAAGAGCAGAACTAGCAGCAGTACTGATCGAACACGAATCTGTTTCTGGTGGTTAAAGTTGAGGTGTTTCATCATTTGAATGAGAGTTGTTTGTCAGACAGTCCCTGTTAGGATTACGTGTCACTCCAGTTGTAATTGGACTATTCACAGATTGAGCAGCTAGACACAAAAAGGAGGAATAAATTGCAGAGAGGCGAACAATAACACAAAACTCACCTTGATTCAACGACTGAACGAAATCAACGGGAAGATTCTCTTCATCCTCTACTCCTGCTTCACACAACTTTTTCCACATTTCGAAATCGGATCGTAGAAGCTGTCCAAAAACAACTTCGTATGGAGTTTTTTTCGTGGTATGATTAGTGCTGGTGTTAATCGCGTGCGTTACAGGACCTAAACCTAAAGAGGATATGTCAGACATAAATTATTTATGGGTGGGATGCATAAATGAATGCTCACCCTTCGACCATTCAGTGGATTGGTTACATTGTAACCACTTTGCCAAAGCCACCTCGAGCGTTTGGTTACCCCGCTCAATAAGTCCTTGGGTCTCTGGATGGCGAGCTCTCCCGTTGATTATGACTAAATCTACCCAAGTATTTTTCAAGTCCTGCAATAAACAGAAATAAATATGGTGACATCTGAGGACCGTAAACAAAAACTCACTTTTATCACTTTCGCTACGAACTCTTTGCCATTGTCCGATTGAAGAAACATAACTTTATTGCACTTACTAGCAGGAAACTTTGTGAAGATCTGTCGATTACTGCATGCATCGCATAATTTGATAAACTTGATTACGACATCATAGGGAATCCAAGAATATTGAGATTTAATCTAAAAATCACATAAAACAATCACCTGAAAAGAAATCCTTTACACTTTACGTACTTCACTCCATGTTTTGTCCCTCCCATGATGGCCGACACGCTTGTGACATTCATCCAGTTTAACATAAAGTTCTTCATATGTAATTATAGGCCGACTAGCTTTGCCCTTGTTGTAGATGACATTCGCATCTCCAATTTTGACCAACACGAAGTTCTTTTGAGCCCAAAATTTAAACTTTCCCTCTCCCCAACCATCGCGCAGTACCAAAAGAATATCTTCGTACATGCTCTTTGTGACTAAGTATTTCGCACGAAACTTTTCATTTATTTAGACTTTTAATATGTGCGTCGAGATGTTCATAAAAAGTGTCCATGTTGCATGCGGTATATCAGGCGAGAGTGGTTATGTGAATGATTTCTTCTATTTACTTCGAATAGTTCTCTTTCTAAACGCTATTGCGCCTTTTCTTTTCCTCTCTCTCTCGTTGTCCAGAAAAAGTAATGTTATTGAGGAATTTATTCCAATTTCCCCTGCAACATATATATAGAAGTAGCGCTCATCCGTTGGATTCGCTGACCCTTTTCTGAAAGTATCAGAAAACTAGTAGATAAACGCTCTCACTTAGATCTCAATCTAATTGGCTTCGAACTGAAGTCACTTTTATGCAGAGATGGGCAAGTCAGAGGTTTTTCCAAGTCAAGTCAAGTCAAGTCATGAGTTAAGATGAACAAGCCAAGTCAAGTCAAGTCAAGGTCTTTCACTAAACTATTCAAGTCAAGTCAAGTCAAGTCATCGATGCTTTCAAGTCAAGTCACCTTGATTCAAAGTTCGCTTAAAATCATCGTTTCTGCAGCATGTTTTTTATGGAACTTTCACCAAGTCAATACTTCTATTATTCAAAAAAATAGCAGGTTCATAACAAATATTCTCACTGATGCAACAAAAAATAACTGAAAAACAAATCTGTTCACATTCACAAACATCGCCAGTTGATTTTACAATGACAATGGAATATGTATCATCCGAAAAAAGTGCGTTACACAATACCATCATTACATTTCAATAAAGTAAGTTGTT